TGGATCAGCCCGTGCTATGGATCAGCCCATGCTGGATCAGGACGATATTTTGATACTTTCAAGAGGGGGGAGTAGTTTTAGACAAAATGAACTCAGTCATAGCCCGTTTAAAAGTTAATCCGTCATAATCTTTGTAGTTTCTGGATTAACTGTTCCAGACGGTTTCCAAATCTGAAATGCACATGAACCTCCCAACCCGAGAGCCACAATCCACAGTCCTGCAGCAGTGACACTTTTTGCTGGTCAGCGATCCATGTCCACATCGGAGGCTGGGCAGTGGCCAGTGTGCGGCACGGAGCGGCCCCTCGGCAGTGGGCGTAGCAGCCAAGGGCCGGCAGGGCAGTAAGAGAGAGACCAGAGAGACCATGCTCTGAGGCTACACAATTTCTTTTCTTGTCATGAGAACATTTAAGATCTACTCTCTTACAAACTTTCAAATACACAATTAATTATTGTTACCATGATAGGCACTATACTCCCAGAATTAGTTACCTTGGAAGTTTCACCTTAAAAAAAAAAAGAGCCCTGCCCTTCAGAAAAACACAAGATTGAGCCCGGGGATTGCTACTGTAAATGAGACATAACCCTGGGCCTAGGGGCCGAGTCTCAGCGCTGCTCCCCTCAGCAATGGATTTCAGTCCATCTGTCTGTTCTGCTCCCCACTCTGTCTCTGGTGAAGCTTCTCGCCCTCCGCATCTCTGGCCTGTACCCCAGTTTTGTATAAAAAAAAAAAAAAAAAAAAAAAAAAAAAAAAAAAAGATTCCTTGTGTCTGGCCTCACTGAGAAAACGACACTGAGCATGCGCCCGAGGCAGAAGGGCAGGGGTGAGGTGGCATCTGGGAAAAGCACCCTAGAAACAGCACAAAGTGTGTGCACAGGTCCTGAAATGGAAGAGGCTGCCCACCTGCCACCTGCCACCTGCAGATCAGCAAGCACATCGACTGTAAGTTTCTCCAGGCACAGCCGAGCTCATTCTCCACTGGGACGTCCAAGAGGGTGCTGCGCTCAGCAATTACGCACCCGCTGGACCGTTAATGCCTTGGCCCACCTATCTCCTACCTTGTGAAAAATTCGGCTCCTGAGTCAAGATTTCGTTTCGTTCTTCCAAAATCTGCATCAGGGCTGCTTGGAGTTTAGGTGGCAGAATTTCATCCTCATCAGACACCTTAAGAGAAGAAATGGAGACTTTTTTCCCGTGTACTTTGAAAGTCTCAAATATGCAGTACTTAGGGTCCCCAAGATTCAGCAGGGGACTTTATATGTTTTGAGCTAAGAAGTCAGTCTGAAACTTCCTTCTGTGCACAGAGAAGAGCCCATGATGTTTATGGTGCACTTATCTTAGCTATGAATTTTTTTTTAATGAATAATATACTTCATAAAACATCCAGGCATTTTCCTACCAATTATCTATAGATCTTACACTGTATTACAAAGATCATCCCCCAAATAATTGTGTTTCAACTGTGATGAACTAACTGATTTTTAAAAAGTCAGTCTTGGGAAACGTTTCTAATAATCATGTGCTCACTGCTCACAAATCGATGTGCAGGTTACATTCCGAAGGCTGATCAAGACAGCTTTCCTCACTCTTCCTTCCACTTCAATACCCAGAGTAAATGACCACATCTTTTATGCTCCCACTATGCTCTGTACAAATTTTTGTTCTCCCATTCCTAAAACTCCATGGATATACCTGCTCCCTAACACACTTGACCTCAGGTCTGAGGTCTGTATCTTCCTGTCTTAAGATTCTGACTGCCTAACCAAGTACCCAGAAATAACTGATGCTTTATCCATGCTTTATTAAATCTAATTAAATCACAGGCTTCTATGTCAACCCACCTGGACTTGAAGGGAGGGTTACCTCTTTTGAGACCTGCACTTAATCTGTTTCCTTCTTCCGTCTTTGAGACAGACAGCTGTAACGCCAAACCAGATTTCTCAGATCAACCTTTTACGACTGTGTGTCGAGTAAGTATGTACAAGCACTGAGAGCCTCGCCTGAGTCACCTTCTCTTCCACGTAGTTCCTGTTCAATTATCACCGAACACAGTCACCTCCTTTGTCACTCACCTCCTGCAGGAACTTGTCTGCACAGAGATCGACTATCAGCACCTATGGGACAAAGAAGTCAGACAAGTTATGCCAGAGAGACATTCACCGAGAAGTGGATCAGCCCGTGCTATGGATCAGCCCATGCTGGATCAGGACGATATTTTGATACTTTCAAGAGGGGGGAGTAGTTTTAGACAAAATGAACTCAGTCATAGCCCGTTTAAAAGTTAATCCGTCATAATCTTTGTAGTTTCTGGATTAACTGTTCCAGACGGTTTCCAAATCTGAAATGCACATGAACCTCCCAACCCGAGAGCCACAATCCACAGTCCTGCAGCAGTGACACTTTTTGCTGGTCAGCGATCCATGTCCACATCGGAGGCTGGGCAGTGGCCAGTGTGCGGCACGGAGCGGCCCCTCGGCAGTGGGCGTAGCAGCCAAGGGCCGGCAGGGCAGTAAGAGAGAGACCAGAGAGACCATGCTCTGAGGCTACACAATTTCTTTTCTTGTCATGAGAACATTTAAGATCTACTCTCTTACAAACTTTCAAATACACAATTAATTATTGTTACCATGATAGGCACTATACTCCCAGAATTAGTTACCTTGGAAGTTTCACCTTAAAAAAAAAAAGAGCCCTGCCCTTCAGAAAAACACAAGATTGAGCCCGGGGATTGCTACTGTAAATGAGACATAACCCTGGGCCTAGGGGCCGAGTCTCAGCGCTGCTCCCCTCAGCAATGGATTTCAGTCCATCTGTCTGTTCTGCTCCCCACTCTGTCTCTGGTGAATCCTCTCACCCCCATACCACTAGTCTACACCCCAGTTCTTCTATGCAAAAAAAAGGGGGGATGACTCTAGATACGTGTATATACACTGATATATATATGTAATATATATATTAGACTTTTTCTCATTTAGTAAGTGTCAAATGTAGCATAACACACAGTAGCAGTAACATTAATCAACAGTGACCCAGTGCCCCCCCAAGTGGCCCCCCCCACCTCTTCGATGGGCAGGTCCTGCAGCTGCGGCAGGGAGCAGGACAGGATCCCGATGAGGAACGGCGTGGGTGAGCACACTATGTCGATCATGGATGCGGGCAGGACGGGGATGTAGGTGTGCTGCCAGGTGAACGGGTACAGGGTGGCGACCACAGCGTGGCCGCATTTCGACAGGGTGCTGGCGGAGGGAAAGCAGAGGGGTCACCGGGGCAGCCGAGGGCGGGGTGCCACCACTGCCCGACAGCACCCCAGGCTGAGGCTGGTCGCCGCATGTCCCGTGGCGGCCAAGTAACCAGAGTGATCTGCAGACACTATTAGTTGACTTTCTTTTTAAAGATTTATTTATTTATGCACACAAGAACTGAGGTAAGTAAGGCCAGAGGTCGCCGGGGGTGAGAGGGTTCACCAGAGACAGATCGGGGAGCAGAACAGGCCGACTGACTAAGGACACTGCGGAGGGGAGCAGCGGGCGGTCAGGAGAGGTCTGCTGGGCCATGTGGGTCAGCTCCGGGCCAGGGAATCGAACAAGCGCTCCAGTGGCTGGAGCTTCATGGTGCTGTGCTTTACCCCGCTGTGCCACTGTGTGTGTGGGTGGGGGGGGCTGTTTTTAACATTTTATTTGAATTTTTAACATGACTCACTAGACATCTTCCGGCAACTTACACTGCTAAAATGTTGTGTCTGCTTAGACAGTATTACCAGTTTTCAACAATAGCTTAAGTGAAAAAGGTACATGTGGGCCCTCCCTGGTGGCACAACGGGTTAAAGCGCAGCACTAATAAGCTCACTATGAAGCCAACTGCAGCGCTTCAGGGCAAGTTCGATCCCCAGCCAGGAGCTGACCCACGTGGTGCGGCAGACCTCTCCTGTCTCCCTGCTGCTCCCCTCGGCAGTGTACTTCATCAACCTGCCTGTTCTGCTCCCCTCTCTGTCTCTGGTGAAGCTTCTCACCCCTTGCACCTCTGGCCTGTACCCAGTTCCTGTATGCGTAAGTGAATAAATGTTTAAAAAGAAAGAAAGAAAAGAAAGGTACAGGTATTACACCCTCCTCCCCAAAAGTCAAGGCAAATAGCCTTGAGGTTATTTACTGTTTGGAAATGACCCACATCCCTACAGCATTAGAACTGTAGAATATGAGGCTCTACATAGTTTAATACCACCCCCAGCCCACCCCCCACATTTAAAACAGCAACCAACAGAAAGAAGTGACCAGTTCTGCTCATGTCCCACCTGAGGCTGTTGGCCACGAAGATGACCCTTCGCTCCAGCAGGAGAGAGGCGCAGACCCGGACCAGGCGGCCCACGCTCAGGCACCTGAAGAGGCACTCGAAGTCCACGTGCTCCAGCCGAGAGTCCAGTGGCCGGCAGAGTTCGATGGACTGAAAGGCGAGGACTTCATGGAGGGGGGCGGGGAGGCTGAGGGGGGGAACGTCCCTAGGACCACACTGGGGGCTCCGTCCTTTCATGGGCTAAATTCGAGGACGAGGGTCTGCTCTCAGTGTGAGCTGCCTGCACTGAGCCCAAGGCCTAACCAGGTGACGTTCGTGCTGAAATCGGGTCAAATCCACCATTTTACCTGATGAGTGTGCTACTCTCCTGCATCACGCTGCGGCTGTTACTGTGAAGGCTTCATCTATCGATGGTAGAAAATCTGTTTCTGGGCCTGGGGTCTGCTACCTCACAAGTACAGTGGCTATTTCTCCCTAGCTGTGGGGCTTAAACATATTCTTTAGTTTCTGGGAAAGGGGGAACCGTGCCCTAAGGCTGTTGACCATTCAGCATCAAAGGTCCTGCTCACGGGAGGCTTGGTGGCTGTTCCCAAGTGCGAGAGGCTTACCCCGTCTCCTGCCCCGGGGAGGTAGCTCTTCACCGTGATGGTGCGCCCAGGGGCCGGGAAAGGGGCTTCCATGACGCTGCGCATGAAGGGGTGGACCAGGGCCGGGGACATTTCTCTCCTCTTCTCTACTTCATCCAGAATCTACATGCACAGAGTGGTGTTTTATTAGACTCAGTTCTAAACCATCAAGGACCCTATTCAACGGACTGCCAATTCAGCGCACAGATGTGAAAACTGCCAACAAATTTTAAGGCAGATAAGCTTCTACAGCCAAAAAAAAAGCCCTCCCTGGTGGCACTATCAGGCTGTCTGCAGCTACCCCCTGTACCTCTGGCCTGTACCCCAGTTCTTATATGCATAAATAAACAAAAATAAATGTTAGGGGGGAAAATGTTCACCAGTGGCTATTTATTTCTTGGGGGTATCTTTTAGATTACCCTTCAAGTAAAGTTATTAAAATAAAATAAACTTATTTTTAGATGAGAGGGCCCTTTCCCTTTCCCTAAGGTAGGGGAAAAAAGTGACACTCACAGGATACCTGGTGGTTTGGGGTCTGGGAAAGACACCAGACAGGATGAGCTTCAGGTAACATTCTTTAAAGTGGGAGGTTTAGCAAATCAAAATGAGGATGACAGGGTAACAGCATCGGATCAGATTTCTGCATGAGGCCTCCTAACCCGTAGTTCTCCGGGGCAGGGAGGAGCCCTTTCTGAAGAGGTTTGCTACAGTCTATGCCACTGGCCACTGCCTGGTAAATTCATCAGAGACAAAAACGCCCACTCACCTTGGAAAAGAGGTTGAAGCAGCCGAGGCGACTGACCATGCAGTAAACCTCGGGCAGTCGCTTTCCTTTGCCCTCCGGCTGAAAGACAGGGAGCAGGCAGGGTCTTACTGCTCGGACTGTTGGTGTTCTCTCACCACTTTCAGCACAGAGCAGACACCAAAGTAGTGGGCAGTGTTAGAGGGGAAATGCTAGAATGACAGCACCGGTTGTGCCAAATTTGGCGAGGGCAGCGAAGCGAGAGGCAGTTCGGAGCGCCTTCAAATAGGTTACTGTGCTCCGTTACACACGCAAACACACACACACACACAGGACTGATACTTACTTAGCTACGACGTCAGTGGCTACTCCCTGTGCTACCAACAAAATTAAGCGGTACCATTTCTATTCTGGAACCATCCATGACTGATCTCCCATCTTGTTCTTATGGTTTAAACTTAGTATCACTCCTTTAACGCACACATCATGGGTAACCCTCAGACACATCTAGACTGTTCGCGAAGCTCCTAGTGGGTCCCTTAGCTGCCCCTGCCTGGGGCCCAAGTCTCACACTTACCAAGAGCTTCTTGCAGTAGCCAAACCACCGGCTGCCATCTTCCCCGGTCAAGACAAAGGAGAATGTTTCACTGAAAAGTAGTCAGTAATTTCAGATCCAAACAATGGCCACTGCCATTCTTCATGGCACAAACAAATAAAAACTGGGGATCAACAGCGATCATTTTGCGGCCTAAGAGGGGTCATTAATATTACCTTTACTGCAAACCACATTCCTCAGAGGGCTGGGGGTCCCTTGCAGTGGTGAGAACACAGGGCGCACACAGGCCAGAGGCGCCACCTCCTCTCCCACACCCTTGTTCACCCAGCTGAGCCCTTGTTCAAGCCTGTTTCTCTGTCTGTGAATGTCCGGTTTAGTCAAACACATTGGTAGACTTAAAAATGGTACTGATAAGACATTTCCCCTTCCTAACTCTTCTATGAAGTTCTGAGAAGTAGCATGGAAGAGTGAAAAGCAAAGGATTATATCCTCAATATGTAAAAATCAGTAGGAAGAAGTCAGCTCCTCCTTAGAAATGTAAGAGAAGCACACATAATTTACAAAAAGAAGTTCTCAAGATGCCCAAGGAATTAATAATCAAATCCAAATGTGAACAGTGAATACCTATCTATGGATAAAAATTAAAAACTGAAGAGAATATGCCAAAATATGTACAGTGGTTATCACTGAATGCCAGTGATTTCTAATTTCTGCTTTTTATTTACTGGTCTGTGCTTTCCAAACCTTCTAGAATAAGCGTACATAACTCGTCAGAGGCCAGGGAACCGACCATGGAGCAGCCGAGGCCACATGAAAGAAGCTTCTGGGCCTCCTTGGTGGCCTAGGGGTTGTCTCAGCATTGCCACCACTGCGGCCTGAGCTTGATCCCAGCCGGGGAGCAACCCACAGGGCGCAGCAGAACAACTCCCATCTCATCCGCTGCTCCCCTCAGCAGCATATTGCAGTGGATCTGCCTGTTGGGCTCCCCACTGTCTCTGGAGAATCCTCTCTCACCTCCCCCCTCCTCTGGCCTATGCCCCAGTCCTGGTATGCATAAATAAATAAATAAATAAATCTTTAAAAAGAAAGAAGCCGCTGACGTGGTTAGCAGGGGCTGACACAAGACAAGGGCTTCAGGACTGACGCTGCAGGGGAGCAGGGATCTGGCTCAACTGGTTGGGAGACACAGCGGCTCAGTCTGCAGGCGCCAGGGGGCGGGAGGACAGAGCTACTCAGGCCACAGGGGCGCCTGTCACATGCTCACACAATCAAGCGTTGCAGCCTGAACCGCATGTCAGTAATTGCAGTTCTGAACCAAGCAGTGATGCCTCTGTGAGCAGCGTTCAGAGACGACGACGACGAGGCTGCTTCGCTAAATGCGGCCGCTCCTCTGGGTTCCGGGAAGAAAGTCTTCCCTCCCCAGTAGACTCAGGCCTCCCCAACAGGACCCGCCCTCTGCACGTTCCACAGGGGGACCTGGGCTGTGGCTGCTCTGGACCTGAAGGGAAACTAAGAGGCAGGACCCCCCTGCTGTGCCTGCACTTTGGCGGAACCCCAAGCTCAAGCCTCCAGTTCCTCTTCTGTCCACTTGGTGGCATTTCTGACTGTCTGGCAAGTGGGACCTTCTGTCCCAGCAGGGCTGGCCGACTGCAGAGCCTCTCAGCCCGTCTCCCCTGGACACCGAAATTACGTCTTCGCTTTTTGTGCCGCACGCAAGGAAGGTGATCAGTTCTGTTTCTTCCTTTCCTGCCACTGCACCCTGATCTGCCACAGTGTCGCTTCACGGCTGCTCCACCCTTTCCCAAATGCCCCTTCTACTCTTGCAGCTCCAGGAAACAGAAATCAGACAAGCCGCTCACTCACCTCTGGAGTTCTGAGGTCGGCACCCAGTCCTTGGCATCGGGAAAACAAAACTTGGGGATGACTTTGAGTCTCTCCTCAGTGTCCTTGGACTGCTTAAAGCCATGATCCCCCTGGTAAAGAAAAAAGCCTGGCAGTCGCTAATATTCTAAGTGCAGAACAGAAATAAAACCAGCCTGGTCTCAGGCAATCAGGTCTCGGAGAAGCTTAGGCGTTTACATCAGCACAGCCTTGTGTTCTTAACAGTTTGAAAGGGCCAAGACTGGGCATCACCACAGATGCTGAGAACAAGCATTACTAAGAACAAGAAATCCTATTTTTACCTAGAAATGGTACTTGAGGAGATCCATAATCTGATGAGAGGACTGAAATAGTTTCTTACCTGGAGGTAGAAACTTCATTCAGAACTCATGTGTTAGTGGGAAGCAACTATTTTTATGAATCATGGGGCGTGAGTCATCAAGTACTGGTAGCGCAAACTTTGTCAGCTGACAGACTCTGATCAATAAGCAAGGGTGTTTTGTAAAGGCAGACTCATGTTATTTAGAAAAGACACTATTTTTAGAATCCACCCCACATATAATCATTTCCTTTAGCATATAATCTTTGCTACCTAATTATTGGTTTGCAACTTCCTATAAAATTTGAGCAGAGAAGAAAGACCCTTTGTGAAAGTCTGGTATTGTTCTTTAAGAGACATTCTACATTTAGTTAAAAGATATTCAAAAATCAGTATAAAAGCAAGCACATAATAAGTCTAACTACTATTCTGCCTACATATAATGAACAAAAACGTAATTTCAAAACAAAACACGCAGCTATTTTGGGTTTCTTGGAGAGTCAGCTCTGGAACATACGCACAAGCGTTCGGACAAAACTTAGTTGTATTATATTCTACTACAGTCATTCAAGGTTTTCTGTGACAGAATTAAGAGGCGCTCAGGCAGCTCCTTGCCTTGCTCATTTATGGGCGCCTCACGCACCAAGATGCCAAGGAGGTGCTAGGGCAGTGCCGAAACTCCTCTGCACCCAGGGGTCTGCGTGTGGTTCTGACCCCAGGCTGTGCATACACAGGCTCCATCTCAAGACTGCTCTCGACGGATAGAAAACTGATTCAAAAGCAGTGGGAAACTCAAGCTCTTCCTAATGGAAAACTGGACTGCTCAAGACGATGTAGGTTTCTTCACCTCTCTGGGACTGAGGCCCGGGCTGTGATACGGAGCTCTCAGGCCCTACTGAGGAAGTTTATAAGAAACGAAACTTACTGCCTTACTTGACAGATAGCTTACTTGACAAAATGCCTTGGATTCCAGTACAGTTGTTTCACAAAAGCAGGCTTATGTAAATTCTTATTTTTTTAACACAAACAAAAATTTTATCTTTATTCTTATAACAACACTGCAAACCAAAAAACATGTTTGTGGACGCAACATGCTCACAGGTTACTACTTTGTTTCACTCCTTGTACCCGCTGCTACCAAACACGGAGCCACATCTGGGGCCTACCCACGATGTAAGGTCTCTGCCATGACAGCAGAGACCAAGATCTCACCCCTCTGTATTCCCACCACTAAGCAACAACAGTAGTATTTAAGACATATTTGATTAAATGAATCTGTTTTGAAAGCGGTACAGTGGCTCAGATAACAGTGTTAAGAATAAAAATAGCTACCATTTGGGCCCTCCCTGGTGGCACAACGGGTGAAAGCACCTCGTTATGAAGCTCTCTGAAGCCACTGCAGCAGGAGTTCGATCCCTGCAGCAGGAGTTCGGCCCCGGAGCTGACCCACATGGCGTGGCAGACCTCTCCTGACCTGCCTGCTGCTCCCCTCAGCAGTGCGCTTCGTCAGTCGGCCTGTTCTGCTCCCCGCTGTGTCTCGGGTGAATCGTTTCACCCACCACACCTCTGGCCTGTACCCCAGTTCTATAAGCAGAAAAATAAATCTTTACCAAAAAATTGCTACCATTTATATCAAGTGCGCCAGCAAATGCATTAAGCACTTTATAAGTATCCTACTACTAAGTCCGTGCGAATAACAACATTCTATAGGGCTTGCTATATGCCAGGTACTGTCCTAAGCGCCTTCTATAAATTTGCTCGTTTAATTCTCACGACAGCTTAGTGGGGTGGACGCTCTGGGTGACCTCTGCTGTGAAATGAAGAAATCAAGGCAGCACACACAGCAGCAAGTAAAAGCTAACCTCACAGAGCTAATACATGGCCAGTGCAGTTATTCGCCTCAGAGTCTATGCTCTAAACCACACTTTTACTAGTCCCCTCATTAAGGATGAGAAAAGTGAGGCTTTGAAACTGCTAAAGGTCACTTAGTAAACAGCAGAGCAAAAAGTCTAAAAAACAGAACCATCTGGAGAGTGAGCTCTAAGTTCCCTGTGGCTGCAGCTCGTGCTGACGTCATAGGCGTCATTTAGCAGATCCCACGGGCGCCACAGTCTTATCAGTAAAAGTTAATGGAGATGACCGTAACCAGGAAGAGAGGACGTAAGTGCACACAGACGCACGACCCACGAGAACATTCCAGAATGCCTCTGGGCCTCCTTGCACCTACCTTGCCAGGGAACTGCTGTATGACCTGGGGAATGTAGCTTACTTCTGATGGCTTCTTCTGTAGAGACACCACCACAAACAGTTCAAACAGCTGCTGCTCCTGCAGCTCGATAAGGTCCCGCTCTAAGGTCTGGTAGTGCGGGTTCCTCTTGGCCGAGTGCTGCAGCTGGGCCAGGCGCTTGTGGCGGTCTGTAACGAGAGCGGGAGCTCGGCTGCCCATCTGCCAGGAGCGCCCAGCGCTCTCACACCTACGGGCCCAAGGACTGTCTTCACTCCGATGCTGAAGGAAGGCTGAGTAGCCAGGGTCTGCCAGGCAGACACACCTGGGCCACAGGATGTACTTGGGGGACAGGGACTGACGGAGAGCGGGGCTGCGGTGGGACTACATCTCCCTGGTCCCAGGCGGTAACCTGCAGGCCTGCCATGCCCACTGCTGCCAGTCTGTCACGGCCTAACACCGGAGCAGAAGGCAAATGTCCCCGGAAAGCACTGGCCTGGCAGCAGATTCCATGTTCACCCCGGCTTCATAGGTGGGAGTGAGAGAAGTGATGAGAGACTGGGCCCGCAGAGGGGTAAGCGCATAAAGGATGAGTCTGGTGAAATACCATCTTCCCAGTAAAGAAATGGTCCTTCCGCCTGACTCTCCTGGCACTGGGCGCTGGCTCCTACCAGCAATGGAACTAAACTCAAGAGGGCGGCAATGTCGCCTAAGAAGACACCTATCAGCGCACTGTTCCCCAAAAGAATGAAATCATGGAGGCATCTGCCTACACAGCAGCAGCCAACACCACCCAAACGGAATCGCATTTATTGGCTGTTCTCAGGTATCTTTACATTCTGACACTCTGGGTCACTTTCTCTAGGGAAAGGCAGTACTTGCAGAAGAAAGACTGGAAACGTCCCAGACACTCGCTCTGTGCTATTCTGAGCCAATGGCTGAAAGACTCATCCGCTAATTGCTTTGCTTTGCTTTTGAGATATGATTCACTCTGCCCCCAAAGAAATGACACTGTGGACCAAAAATGTTAAAAACACATCTAGGAGAAGTTCCCTACAATTAGCAGAATGTTGAGTCCCAGGCAAAGTGTCACTCGTACCAAAGGACCAGATCAAGGCAAGAAAAATGTGTTGGAGTTCTGCTTCTCAGTAGCAACAGAACCAAATCAGTCTCCTTTACTTCATCCAGCCAAGCTGAAACTGGTGATGAGCTAAGAGTCGCCTTCAGTCAGGCCACAGGATCAGATGCCTGATTCAGCCTGGTGGGCGCGGGCAGGGCTACTCATCCTAAGTGCAGAAGGCAGGCCAGAAACTGCCCAGGGCACAGCGTGGCAATGCAAGCCTCCTACTTTTCCCACCCCCTCGGGATGTCAATCAGTTAAACCAGAACCACCTAACCAGTCCTGAAATACCCTATGATGGGGACAGACTACGAAGCACTTGAACAACCTAGCCAAAACATGCCTTGCCCAGCTCTATTCTGACAGAAATAAAGGCAGGATCATCTGGAATGTGAACGCCTGAATGAGAAATGCGCTGAAATGTTTTCCATGTCAGTGTCCACGGAGCCACTTCAACAATCGTACCTGAGTGACTACGAAAACGCAGGTATTTAAAGCTAAGCGTTTGTCCGGGAGAATGATTCACACACTCTGGTTGCCTGGGACCGATAGGTCTGAACACGCAGCCAGGCCCGGCCCCCAGGAACATTCCGTCTCGTGAACCGCACCGGTTTGGCTGACTCTGCCGTGGGTTCTTAATACTGTTAAAAGTTTGACCATGCACTGTGCAGCTCCCCAATTCTCAACGGGTGCTTATGATGAGGAAATCACCCCACAAAATGAAGTTGTGTGGGAACAGCATGCTTAATCACACAGGTAGTAGGTTCGCTCCGCCTACCCCCTCCATCACCCCGGCAGGGATCACCCCGGAGAGGGAGCAGCCCCGTTGACTCACTCACTCTTTGGCAGATACTCGGCGTCACTTTCGTTCCCACTGGTTTCACCTGAGAAGAGAGTTTCCATTTGTTCAACGGTAGAAGGCACAAGGGGGCGAAAACATCGCAAAACCTGCCGGGATCTGGCCACCCGAGCTGGCCATCCCGAGAAAGGTGTCCCTCTGTGCCACTCGGCTCGCTCAGGTCAGGACAGTGACCACAGAGAGCAAGAGGCTCGGTGAGGAAACTACTGGTGGCACCTTCCTCCCACACGGCTCGTTCCAGAAGTAGGACAGCACCTCACACTAGTCTTGGAATAGAAGCCTAGTTCAGAGTGGAACTGTATTTCTGCATTCATATTCTTATCTTTATAGTCCCAAATGAGGTATCAAAAGTATAGCAGCAGCCGGCTGAAAAAACCTGAACACAGAACAAATGGTAAGTTTAGGATAGTAGGAAAATGGATGGAGAAGAGAGATACGAAGTTACAGCCAAGCCATTAGGCTTCCTCTAGGCCAAGCAAGACTTTCTTTTACTCTCAATTCCTATAACACCCCAAAACTGCTTTGAACTGCTCTTATTTTCCCCAGATTTTAAGTGTTTTAAAGGTAAATGGCCATGCTATTAAAAGGGGGTATTTTTTTTTAAAGATTTATTTATTTATTCATACAGAACTGGGGTACAGGCCAGAGATGTGGAGGGTGAGAGGATTCACCAGAGACAGAGTGGGGAGCAGAACAGGCAGATCGACGAAGTACACTGCTGAGGGGAGCAGCGGACGGGTCAGGAGAGGTCTGCCGTGCCACGTGGTCACCTCCGGGGCAGGCGGGAATTGAACTCATGCGGAAGTGGCTTTAGCTTCTCAGTGCTGTGCTTTAACCCACTGCGCCACCAGGGAGGGCCAGAAGGGGGTATTTTAAACCACAATGGTAGGCACACAGAAATTGACCAAAAAGAAAAATCTTGAAAAAGTGCATGAAAATTCTCTAGATTAAATGTAAAAAGTTAAAAAAAGCAAAAATAAAAGATGCAAACAAAAGCTAAATCTAAATGTCACAGGGAAAGGAAGATCTAGGAGTGATGAATGAAAAATTTATCTGATTACATCAAAACAAGTATCTATCTAATAAAAAACATTAGTAAATCTGAAAAGTAGATAATAAACTGGGGAAAGTATCTGTAATACACCCTGCAGTACAAGGTTAAGGTTCTTACTATCCAAATAGCCAGAATAAGGAAAACCACAAAATAGAAGCAGGAATAAAGCACAGGCAGCAGCAGTCACAAAAATAGATATAAATGCGGATAAACTTGAAAACTGCTCAAATTCATAATGAAAGAAAAGTGAACTAAAATAGTAAATCGACACAATTTTCCATCCTGATAATGACAAAAAATAAAAAAAAACAACTTTGGTAAAATACTACATTATTAAAGATTATGGGGAAAAAAGTAGCGTTCACATGCTGTTCATGGGAAGGGAAGTTGTTAGAACTGGTGGGCTGACTTGGCAACAGGTGTAACATTTCAAATGCATATTTTCCTATAAAGTGTAATGCTAGAGTTTATTCTATAGATGTGTATTTACAAACATCCGAAACTATTCGCAGAGAGATACTACAGCAGCCTTTAATAGCAACATACACACACACACATAAAATTCAAATATCCGTATGTCAAGCAAGATGTTAGCAACACCCAATGTCTACCAGCTAAACACCATTCCTTCCGAGATATACAATGAAATACAGAGCTACGTGACTGTCTATGTGAAATACAAGAGCGCTCCGTGTTGACAGTAAAGGTAGCTCTCATGCTACTTTTGTATCAATCATGCTTTTTTCCTTGTTTTTGAATTTCAAGGCACACCAAGTTTGAATGGTATAAAAGACTACTTGGGCAGGAGAAAGAAATATTTACCTGTGCATCAAATTTTTCTAGGAGTAGTAGGAGGAAGTCTGGAAAACTGGCTCTTCGTCTTGCTTCCTATTTTCTAACTTCTTCCCATGCTCATTTAGTTTGAGTAAGGAATAAGGAATAAGGGAAAGGCTGCCCCTTTCTAAGAGAGGCAGAAACGGTGCACAATGTGCGACAGAGAAGTAGCTGGACACTGCACAACACATGACTCTGCAATTCAAACCAAAGACCCGGACAAAAAGGACAACGGGCTCGTCAGTGCTGTTCAGCATGGGAGGCGCAGACACGGCCCCTAAGTCCTGTATGAGCTGTCAGCACTCAGGAGCTGCAATGTGTTTGGAAAGAAAGAAAAGAAAGGGGAGGGGAAGAAAGGTGTAACCTGAAAGACCCTGTAAGAGCTTTATTATACTCACATCTGTGACATTTGGTGCTCTGTATTCCAAGGCGTGAATGGATGGAGGTTAAGGGCAGATTTAAAGCCCAACAGGGACATTCCAAGAATCTGCCGGGGGGGTGGGGGCGTGGGGGGACCTCCCTGGTGGTGCAACAGGTTAGGATGCAGCACTGCAAGCTGGCCGCAGACTCCTCAGTGCGAGTTCGATTCCCCCCCCCAGAGGTGACCCACATAATGCAGCGACCTCTCCTGTCTTGCCTGTTGCTCCCCTGAGCAGTGTGGTTTGTCAATCTGCCTATTCTGCTGTCCAGAATTATCTCTGTCTCTGTTGAATCATCTCACTGCCTCTGCTCCTGATGCCTGTATGCCAGTTCTGTATGCATAAATAAATAAATCTTAAAAAAAAAAAGAATCTGCAGGGACCAAAAAAAGTTGGGTTGTCCCTTTTTAATAGGTGACTTCAACACACAAAATCATAATGACACAGTTGAAGAACAGCAGTAAGTTATTTTGTAATACTTGATAGCCAAGAGTGAAGAAATGTTTAGGTTGGAACAAATTCAGTAAACCGAGCATGTACTGACAGAGTAAGTAAATATAATTATCTGGTTCTACCAGGCATTGTTGATACACAGACAAAAGCTTAAAAAGGAAAACAAAAATCTGAGAACTGTGACTCTGGTGCCAGGAGATTCTCAGGCATCAGAAATTCCTCTGGTCCACCGGCAGGAGCTGGTCAGAGGCTAGGACAATTTCCCCTGAGCCATGCAAAAGACAAACTGTAAGCAGCCAGTGTGTGCACAGGCGTGTGTCACACCAGCATATCCCGACTGGACAAGCCACCATGCCTGGATTTTTTTCTTTTCAATGATGATGAGTGTGTGTGTGTGGGGGGGGGGATTTGGCTCTGCAGAAACTTGTCTTAGTCACCAAAATAGTTCTAATCCATAGGGCACAGAGCACACAATAAAACACAGATTACCAACAACCTGCTTGGAGTGGGACACCCAGAAAGCAATTCCCGACAGACTGCTGTGAATCTGGGAAATGACGTGTTTGGAAGAAATCAGTCCTGGCCCCGGGGCTTTCATATTTCCATAATTTTCAGTTTGTGATTTATCTCCTTAGTTATGAGACCGTGTGAATAATATCTGCCATGGAGCATTATTTAGAATATTAATGACGTAGCCTGGAAGGACCTAGCATATCAGGCCCTTGTGAGTATCTAGTTCTGAATTACAAAGATAAAAAAAGCCTTTGACTATATCCTTATTGCGCATAAGGAAACACACTGAGAGGACATAGTTACACTGCTGAAAATCAGGTCTATTTAAGAAAAACTGAGAGTGGTGGTCACAGAAAAAGACAGGACTTTGGGGAGCTCTGTACCTCGATTTAAATCTACGCTTCTTTTTGGTTCTGCTTCTTCCTCTGAAATTAGGGCCCCTGTACCGGCCTGTGGTACATGAGGTGAAGTATGTCAAGAAACTGTTACTTCATTCAATCAATGGCGGAGACTACTACTACCAATAACCAACAATATTCCTTTTGCAGGAGAATGAAATGTGTTTCATGACTGCTGTTGAAAATATGAAAATGCAGGGCTCTCCCTGGTGGCACAACGGGCTAAAGCACCGCATTATGAAGCTCTCTGAAGCTACTGCAGCACGAGTTCAATACCTGGCCAGGGAGCTGACCCACATGGCGCGGCAGACCTCTCCTGACCCGCCCGCTGCTCCCCTCAGCAGTGTGCTTCGTCAGTCGGCCTGTTCTGCTCCCCGCTCTGTCTCTGGTGAATCCTCTTACCCACCACACCTCTGGCCTGTACCTAGCTCTGTAAGCATCAATAAATAAATCTTAAAAAGAAAAAGGAAGCATGAAAATTCACATTATAATAGTGACCAGTGGTTTTAATTATCACAGAGAAAAGAAAGAGTCTAAAATTGTTCCATGGGAGATTTTATATTCTGAGAGTAATTGTTAGAATATGTTAGACCAATTTTTCTTCATTTTGGAAAATAAATTTTTAGGAAAGAAGGTTTATTTTGCATTAGTATATGCATATAAGGAAGACTAAGGGGAAATTACATAAAAAACAATGATGAGCTATCAGGAAAAACAAAACGGGTGCAACAGTCAAACAAAGGGCTCCCCTGGCAGCCTAGGAGTTAAATCTTATCACTGACACCACTAGGGCCTGGATTCAATCCCTTAGCAGACCTCTCCTCTCTCCCAGCTGCTCCCCTCAGCAGTGTATTTCAGCACATCTACCTGTTCTGCTCCCTACTCTGTCTCTGGTAAGTCCTCTCACCCTGCCCCCCACACATCTGGCCTGTACCCCAGTTCTGGATGCATAAATAAATAAATCTTTGAAAAGAAGACACGTGATTGCCTGGATGTACACAGACTAGAAGACAGTGTGTGATAGATTCACTGCAGAAATGTAGAACAGATTTTCATGGAAAGTTAAGAAGTTCTTGTCTTTTTAAGTCTGCAAAAATATGAAACATTCTTCCCTGGTTTGACTTGGCTGTTGTTTCTAAGTTACAAAAACTGCTAAATCCTACAAGTTCTGTGCCAGACAACCAAGTCAAGAATCTTGCATGAGCTTTTAAGAAAATTCTAGTAATTCTCTATGGAAGTTGAGAGTTTCTTAATAAAGACAGCATCTATTTTCTCTAGGTATCTGAAGAATAAAAAAGTATCTGAAGGATAAAAAAGTATCTGAAGGATAAAAGAACATAATAACAAGTACCATACACTTTCAGATGATATATAATGTGTATTTCCTTTCCTTTCTTAAGAAGGATTTTATTTTTGCATAGAACTGAGGTTTAGGCCAGAGGTAGGGGTGGGGTTAGGAGAGGATTCACCAGAGACAGAGTGGGGAGCAGAACACTGCTGAGGGGAGCAGCGGGCAGGTGGGGAGAGGCCTGCTGTTCCCTGTGGGTCACCCCCCAGGTGGGATCAAACTCAGGCCATAGGGTGATAATGCTGAGACTTACCCCCCAGGCCACCAGGGATGCTCTATCTAATATGTTCATTTTTCCACTTAAAGACCCTTCACTGGTAGGTGACTTATTATCAAAGTAGGAATACAAATAAAGATGCAAACTGCATATGAAAATTAATCTCACTAGTTTATAATGTTTTTGAAAAATTATTTATATAGTAATCATGACTGGGCACAGAACAAAATACAAAGGATTTGAGGAAGACTAAGAAATATCCCTTATTCTGGAGTTTATATTTAATATATTAATCTAATATATTAATAGAAAGCTAAGAAAGCCAAAACTTGTCACAGGCATCCAATATTAAATTATACAATAGGGCCCTCCCTGGTGGCACAGCGGGTTAAAGCACGGCACAGAGAAGCTAAAGCCACCGCAGCATGAGTTCGAGCCCCGCCTGCCCCGGGGGTGACCCCCAGGGTGTGGCAGACCTCTCCTGACCCGCCCGCTGCTCCCCTCAGCGGTGTACTTCCTCGATCTGCCTGTTCTGCTCCCCACTCTGTCTCTGGTGAAGCTTCTCACCGTTCCTGCACCTCTGGCCTGTACCCCAGTTCTGTGTGCACAAATAAATAAATCTTTAAATAAAAATAAATACAGTATGTGACGACTCGCCCCTTGTGGGCGGCAGCTGACAGCCGGGGGACCCCTTACCTTTTGTGGAAGGAGCATCTTTCCCAGTGTACGGGTGTAATTTCACTCTCTTCTTCCCTCTCTTAGATTCAAAGATGTCATTGATTTTTAACACAAACTGCAAAAAGCCCAAAAAAGTCTAAGTTAAAACTAACAGCAGTAAGTTTTACGAGCTCGATGTTGTAACTTTATTAGTGATTCTCACTCAGAGGAAAGATCCACTTTAGAAATAAAAGCCTTTACAGTCTTCAGTCTTCAATCTAGCATGACCTTTAGCAAAATGACAGGCTGCTCTAATGCAGAGCTCACAGAACGAGACTGAAAGAAGTGGGAAAGGCTCTCTTCTTTCCAGAAGGTCCGGCCTGGGCTCTGGGGCGACGTGGAGTGAGGGTGCCCCACAGGCAGCCTGCTCACAGGGGCACGACAACCCTCACTCCTGGATTCAGGCTTTTGCTGGCTCAGAGCAGGAAGTGGACGAGGAAGTGGCGACTCATTCGACGCAAGGCAGGGCGAGGCTCAGTTATTTCTGCACCCAAGATGTCTTTGCGAAGACAGGATAATTAGGCTTAGGAAGTTTTTGCAAAGGGAATACTCTATACCAGTGGTTTGCTTTGTTGTTTTAAGAAGCATGTCATTGAACAGGAAGCTCAAATACGTTCAAGCACATAAACCAGGCTCCGGTTAAGTCAACGCTGCTCACCAGAAACTCAAGTATGTTCAAGCACCAGAAATCTTTCTTTGCTGTGTGAAAGAGACACTGACATACACTGGCTGGGGTTAAAAAAAGAGGAAAAGAATGAAAACTGCTTAGTAGCCACTTTAAAACTAGCCAAAAAATTCCAGAAAGAAAAAGGAAAAATACTGGATGGTTTCACTCATAGCAGGAGTATAAAGGACCGGGGCAGAGGGGGAAATAACAATAATAATAATGAACAAGTATATACCAGAGACATTTTACTGGGGTGCAGTGGGGAACGGGATCAAAAAGGGGGGCAGGTGAGTGCACTGGACTATGGTGATGGCACACGGGTGAGCTGGTGGTGGGAAGCCCACAGGGATTACTATGGAGATGGAAAAAGGTACAAAATGATGTGAAAATAAGCTTAAATTATTTTAAAGATGAGTAAATAAAAATATATTTAAAAAACTAGTCAAGAAACTGAATAGCTTTCCTTGTGTATTCTTCTTTTTTCTTAAAATTCTAAGGTTTTTCTTAACTTTTCATCCTGATTGAACGTAATGAACACTTAGCATTAACATTGTTAGGAACATTCTCTATGATAATAACCAAATTTTCTTGAAGAGAATGTTCCTGTTTTCTCTTTTGTCCCTGTTCTGCAGCAAACTTGGCAATCCATAGGTAATGAGTCAATCCAAGTACAGGAAAAATAACATGTGAGAAACATGTGCTTCCAACATGTAAATTAGTCCCACATTGCTGGACTGGTTTTTATTCTTTTAAAGATGCGCGTGGTTGCTCGGTCAGGTGAAAAAAATCAGCAGTGTTCTAAGCATCACCATTATAAAACAAACAAGAGAATTCAACGTGAAATGGTAATGCTAACGGACAGATAAAGATGCATGTAAACATGCACTCTGGGTAAAGAATGGCCAAAAACAGCATACTTCTTCATGCATTTCGAAAGTATAATCATGTTATAAAGGAACTATCAGTTCTAGGAATATGAGTTAAAACTAACAAAAGTTAAATTTTGGTTCTCAACTAGGAAGAGAAGTTATTTTTACCTTCTAGCTATAGAATGATTTTGCTAAGAAATGATGGAAACCATACTGTCGCACCGACCAGAAACAATACAGAACACGAGGAAATCTGCTCCAGCAAACAACCCCACACAGGCTCTGGTACGGGGAGAGAGGAAGGGCGGGGAGGAGGCAGACAGGCCAGAGCAGGGCTTTTCCAGGGTTGGCGCCAGGCATCACGGGAGTAAATGGAAAGTGCTTTCTCATGGACACACTGAAGCCAGGACCGCATCACAAAAGGGACACCCTAACAGGTGTCACTCGAGGACACAGGGAGACAGCAGATGGCCTGCCTCTGCCTGACATCAGGAGCTCACCACCACCCACTTCCCCTTCACCACTTCTCATACTGGGGGAAAAGAAATTGGATTGTTACCACTATACTCAGAGAGGAAACAAGGTTGGGTACTTAGCGCAGACACGGAACGTAAAATACTGACAAACAGTGAAGTCAAAAGCACCATGAATCGCCGCAGGTCTTGTTAAACTCTGCAATCCAGACTCCTAGAAAGTTGTGAATGCCATCCCCGCAACCACCACTCCTATTCCATATGTGTGTGTGTTTTGGGTTCATTTTGCTTTTGTGTAGAAGAACTGGAGTGTAGGCCAGAGGTGCGAAAGTGAGAGGACGCACCAGGGGCAGAGTGGGGAGCAGATCAACAAAGTACAGTGCTGGGGGACAGGAGAAGGGGGCAGCGCCCTGGGGGTCAGCTCCGGTGTGTGTGTGTGTGTGTGTGTGTGTGTGTGTGTGTTGGAACTCAGGCCGCAGTGGTGACACAGTTGAGACTCAACTGTGAGGCCACCAGGGAGGCCCCATCTGTGTTCTTCAAACAACGAGGGGCCTGTAGTTTCTGGGGCACATAGAGGCTGCTTTGGGTACCTCAAGATCCCTGAGCAGAGAGAACTGGCACAGAAAGCCCAGCAAATTCTATAATCCTCTGATTTTCAATATTCCTCAACAAACACAGGAGAATAAACAGCCAAAGATTGTTTTCACTGAGAGAGAGTGGTTTGAGATTTTTTAAAAACAGTCTTTTACCTGGAAGGGATCATGCTTAGTGAAAAAAGCCAGAAAGGAAAAGAAAAATACCGGATGGTTTCACTCATAGCAGGAGCATAAAAGGACCAGGAGAGAAAATAATAACAATAATGAACAACTATATAGCAGAAACATCTTATGGGGGTGGAGAGGGGATGGGATAAAAAAGGGGGGGGAAGTGCATGGGACTATGGTGACGGCACACGGGTGATCTGGTGATGGGAAGCCCACGGGGGTTACAACTGAGATGGAAAAAGGCACAAAATGATGGGAAAATAAGCTATTATAATAAAAACCAAACTGTCTTATACACTTCAGGTATCAAAGAGGGAAGGAAAGAAAATAGACCAAAGGAATTAAAGTAATTGGGGAAAGCAAGGACACAATCAGAAGTGACTAAGCCAAGAAACAGCCATCACTTATGTTTGATGTTAAAATCAGGCCCAAAAATTGTGTGCAGATGAATATAGATGACTAATTCGAATGACATTAGGGAAAAGGATACTATTTGGATGATCTCATTTCTTCTTTTTACATACCAATACTGAAAACATTCTGAATTACAGAACAAAGTAACAAAAAGTCTCAAAACATTTTCATGTAATTTCTCAAATGTCTGTCCTAGAAGGAAGTATTTCTCTTTAGAAATACTCCCAGTTTCTTCTTTTTAGGTCCAGTGGCTCTTGCTGAAAGGATTTACAGACTGACCGGCTCTTCTCTCTTGACAGCCATTTATTGAGTATAACTGCTGATAATTATGGTCACAGTCATGCATTCTTGGTTCTTTCCCTAATGGAAATTCTGCCCCAAATTAATGGCAGATACTTTGTCATTACTAAAAATTTATAAATTCATACAAAAAGTGAATTCACTCTAACACTTACACACAAGCTTCCCTGCTAACCAAAGTTAGAATGTCCTTATTTGGTATGACTTGATAGGCAATTTATGGGGTCTAGGAATGCTCATAACTTTTTCCACTTAAACTAATGCTAATGACATTCCCCTATCCAAAAGATAATCGATCAAATCATACAAACAAGAAAATTCTATTTTAGGAGAGTGGAGGAAACCTGTAAATACAGCCAACTTAGTGCAACATCATTTATATGAGATTCTAGTGCTTCCTTAAAACAGGACACTGATTTTAAGGGAACTGAAGCAAACTGCTCCATCTAAAATCAAGTTTCCAGGGCCTGCCCTGGTGGCACAACAGGTTAAAGAGCAGCACTGTGAAACTAGCCACAGCCTCTTCTACACGAGTTCGATCCCGGCCAGGGAGTGACCCACATGGCGCAGCAGACCTCTCCTGTCTCCCGGCTGCTCCCCTCAGCAGTGATTTCAGCAGATCAGTCTGTTCTGCTCCCCACTCTGTCTCTGGTGAATCCTCCCACCTCCCCTGCATCTTTGGGCTGCACCCCAGTTCTGTATGCATAAATAAATAAATCTTTAAAAAAATAAAACCAATTTTCCAAATCCAAAAAGGAACCTTAGCAAAAGCCATCCATGCAGTTTTCTTGCATGAACAAATATTTAAAATAAAAAGTTTCTTTCCAAATTTTCTAATTCCAGTTAGTCAGTTCTCACCTGTTATTCATTTCAGTCTAGAGTTTATTTTCTTTTACAGAAATGATGAAGTAAGAGTCGAAAAATAAAAGTCGTTACCCTTGGAAGATTTTTCCTTTTCCTGTCTGCAACTTCTCCAGCTCGGAAAAGCTTCCATTCAGTTAAAGTGACAGGCAGAGTGGTGTCCTTTGTGAACTTTGACCTTAAAAAGGCCTGTGAGTTCTTCAGTTCCATCGTCTTCCGGTGAAGGAACTGGGGCTTGGGCGGGAACTGAAACCAGAAAGGACACACTAGTCTGGGCAAGTAACTCAGTTTATGCCTGAGTTCTAAAACAAGGCCCAGTTACCCAGGAGCAACATTTCCTTTCTTTTCAGATGATCTCAAGTGAGGTTAACCACAGTTCCTTTTCCACCATTGGTAAAGACGATTCGCAGGCTTCTAACCCGTAACTCTTTTACTATTTTCTAATTACTTATCTAGAAAACCAAGGTTCACTGTCTTCATTGACGGAAGGCGGCCGTGGCTCCTGGGGAGGGTGAGCATCTCAGGGACCAGCCAGGGGTAGGCCAGGGGCAGGCAGGGGGGTACAGTGAGCGGGGAGAACAACAGGAGCTGACAGAACATGGCCTGTCTACAGGTGTTCACACCGAAGCTGTATTCGATGTGCTAAACCCCCAGGCCGGAGGACACAGACTGTTAGCTGCTGCGCCCCAAAGTAAAACAAAGAACCAATCCGCCACCACTCCCCCCAATAAACTCACTCTTCTAAGCTGCTGAGTTTTGGCTCTAGCTAAACCCCCTTTCAACTTTCCACAGGTATCATAAACAACATTGCAGCATATTCTAGTAATTCTCTGCTTGTACCTTGGGTGCTCTGAAAGGACTTTTAGGGGGTGGTAGCTTCCAGGCTGAGGGGGTTCTCCACATGGGCAACGGTTGTATTGGAATATCTTCATACGGATTTTCTTTGCTGGGATCTTGAAAAAAAATGGAAGAAAAAAAAACAGAAGATAATTACATGGGAACAAAGTGACTATAGCTAGGAAAATATATTTTAAAAGAATTAAGTGCCCTTCCCTGGTGGCACAGCGGGTTAAAGCACAGCACTAAGAAGCTAAAGCCGCTTCCTCATGAGTTCGATCCCCAGCCCCGGAGGTGACCCACATGGCGTGGCAGACCTCTCCTGACCCACCCACTGCTCCCCTCAGCAGTGTACTTCGTCAGTCGGCCTGTTCTGCTCCCCGCTCTGTGTCCGGTGAAGCCTCTACCGACCCTGCACCTCTGGCCTGTGCCCCAGTTCTGTATGCATAAATAAGTAAATCTTTTTTAAAAAAAGTTATGTTCACCATTCTAGTCTGTATTGCACGTGGGATTCAAAATCAATGGCACTTTGAGCTTACAAACCACTCAGTATAACCAAGCCAAAAGAATTCTCAAAATACTGTAAACATCTGGAGCAATCCCAGCTGTCTAGGGGTGGGGGTCAAGTCTCAGTGCTATAGCAGCCACGGACTGAGTTCCACCCCCAATCCAGGAGCTGACCCACACAGTGCAGCAGACCTCTCCTGTCTCACCAACTGCTCCCCTCAGCAGTGGATTTCAGTAGATCTGTCTGTTCTACTCCCCACTCTGTCTCTGGTGAATCCTGCACCTCTGGCCTTCACCCCAGTAGTTCTATGCAAAACAAATAAATAAATATGTACTTTTAAACACCATAAATACCTACTTCTGAACTGAGCAATCACTAACCTGGTAGAACACCTACTAAAGAATAGAAGAACTTATATACCAAAGGTTTCCATATTAAAAAGAAAAATTCTTCAGCAAAATAAGCTTCATTTTAGAAGAAAATGTTACCCGATAGGTAAGGGCACCACCAAACACATACTCATTAAATTTAATTGCAAAGTTTCTGGACACCTACATATGATATCCTCATAGATATTGTCCTCAGACTGTGTGTGATAAAGTGACGAGCCAGAAGTTCTTCCAAGTTCTTCATGAATCTTCTGTGAGTTCCGACTTCGAAAGTGCTGAATATCCTCAAATTCAAAGGATTTCCTAAGAAAGGAGATACATATTTTAAAGTCGTATCACTTAAAACTACTCTTTAAAACTGGAAGGAGAGGAACTGGTAAGGACTTGTAATAAAGCTGTAAAGGTGCTATATCAGATTCCTAATTAATAAACTAGGCAGGTCCCCAATACCCACCATGAGAAATCTAGAAGGGTTTGGCCATTTATGTTCAAGGTGTTCACTGGACACCACACGTCGGTTCACTCTCTAGGGTAAAGTGAACGAAGATCAGCGTGCCCTAGCTGAAGAAGGATGAACTGGTTTCTCTACACTTTCTTAAGTTATAAAGTCAAAGTCTTTCTGAAGCTCCTAGGTCAGTAGACCGTTTCAGGTTATCACCTACACTAGACACCGTTTCTCTCATCTTTCCCGGTTGGGGTGCTCAACGTCTGTCTGATCAAGTTAGGGCTGTAATCAGGACCTGGAAATGGAAATTGGTGTCGAAAGGAAAAAAGGAAATTCAGTAATTTTGCACGGAAAATACGTACACGTCATTACCTATGGAATTTAAACGTACCTTTTGGATCGCCCTCTGATTTTTCCACCACATTTCTTTGGTTCAGGTTGCCGAGGAGAGGCCACAGATGACTCTGCACAAGAATTAGTTTCACAGTATTTTCTGTCACAGTTTCTTTCATGACATGGCACAACACCAGACTCAGATAAATATCTGAATGTCCTACGAGGTTTTGGCAAAGGATTTATAGAAGGTCCACCTTCTTGCCCCTCTGGTTCAGAGTAAATGTTTTCTAAGCTCTTGGTTATTCCACATGAACTATCCAGAACTCTGAGATTCAGTTCTTTTTCTGAAGAGTCACAACGTTCTAAAGCCAAGTTTAAGACTTTATCTGGGGGAAGGGCCTCTATCTTCTTCCATAGTATCTGTGAGGTATAGAAGTTTCCTGGCGGTAATGACGTTTCTGGATCTAACACAACTTCTCTCCAGGTTTCAATTTGCTTCACCTGAGAACACACCCAGCTGGGTTCTGGTTTCTTTTCACAGAGGCGGGTCTCGTCATCCTGATTCTCATCTCCATCCTCAGTCTGATCGTGGTGGCTTCTGACATATTCCTTCTGTTCTAGACCAACGTTCTGACAGTTAACACCTAGCGTCTTGCTCTTTGCTTCAACAACAGGACTTTTTTTAGCAATCTCTTGATGACAGTTATATTTTACTCCAAAGTCCTTGGGATGCCACTTGTTTGGATTAGATAAACCATTAGTTCTTCCTTCCCACTGAGAGATTTTTTGTTTGATGTTTTTGCAGTGGCTTCTTGACAGTGTCTGAACAGCAGAACGGGAAAAACCAACATCCATGTTCCCAGTTGGGTGCATAACAGGTAACAAACTTCCCTAAGCTTTCATGACAAGTAACTGTGAAATCCTGTGTTTTTATCCTGTCAGTGAGAACCCAAATGATTCCAGTATTTTCCTTTCATCTTTAACTTGTCAATTTCATTTCAAAAGGAAAATATTTGCTCATTAGTCCTTGCTGAAGATGACAACGCTTGTCGTGAATAACCCTATGAAAGTGAGACAATAATTATGTCAGTAGTTCTGTGATTCCCTAATTTGAAACACTACACACTCTAAACACCCTGTTTACGTTGCAATGTAAAAATGTACCTGTTCAGACCCTCCCTGGTGGCGCAGCGGGTTAAAGCACAGCACTGAGAATCTAAAGCCGCTTCCACATGAGCTCGATTACTGCCTGCTCTGGAGGTGACCACATGGTGCGGCAGACCTCTCCTGACCCACCCGCTGCTCCCCTCAGCAGTGTACTTCATCCATCTGCCTGTTCTGTTCCCCACTCTGTCTCTGGTGAAGCCTCTCACCGCCTCTAAGCCTCTGGCCTATATCCCAGTTCTGTATGCACAAATAAATAAATCTTAAAAAAAAAAAAAGTATCTGTTCACCACTAAGTACTTCAACTCCATAAAGGCATTCCCAACCGTGCCGCAACGACACACAGACCCTTAAGAATCGCTAGCCTGAGTGTTCTACCGTACTTAACACTGGGCAGAATGGCTTTAGAAGAGGTGATGACACCTCCTGTAATGTTTTGTTTTCTCAAAAACACTGATGAGGTCTCCTACTGAAACAAGGACTACAGAATATAATAAAAAGCTACACAGTATAATAGACAGAAATACACCTCAAATAACCAAAAGGCAAGTCTTCTGCATACATTCAGAGGGAGAGCCAGTTGGCCTGGAAACACATCAATAGCTCATTTCCTCCCCCTGTCCTATGTTGAGAGATAATACTAACCCAGTGCGTGCCCTTATTTCAGCGTAACTATTAGCAGCACAGGGCTCCACCCACACAGTGCCACTCAAGGTGCAGCCATTACAACCAGTTGCTTTAAAATGCAATAAATTTTTTTGCTCACGGACTGAACTTTCCACATTTCTGTCACCACACCCTTGACCCAAATCAGCAAAACTACTTTAAAAAAAAAAAGTCACTGTTACATTTCTTCCTTTCACATAGAAGCTTTACTCTGTGAGGCCATAAACTGTTTCCTCAAATGTAAAAAAGCTGTCAGAAAACTTTTGAGTGAGTGAAGACCTGCTCTCCAGTTCTACTGTACACTGGTTAAAAATAGCAACTGAGTCACACTTCCTGAGGCAGGGGTCATCCTTCCTTGAGCTTTGTCTGTGTGGCCTTGATTAGCTGGCAGGAAAAATGTCTTGGCTGAGCTCTGTTCTTACAGCTGATGGGCAGTGCTACATGCACGAGGGGCACACACAGCTGAGTCAGCTGGGCGACTGCTCGCCAGGACGCCATCAACTTTCACTTGTTCCATTCTTCCAAGTCTGCAGGAAAACCCACTTTGCCCGCAAATAAGCTCTGATGAGGGTCTGATAGAAAGAAAATCATACTAAAAAAAAGCCTTAAGAAATGAAGCCTGAGTGGCCCTCCCTGCTGGCACAACGGGTTAGGACGCAGCACTGCAAGCTGGCCGCAGCCACTTCATTGCAGGTTCTATATCCGGCCCCGGAGGGATCCACGGGCGCGGCAGACCTCTCCTGACCCGCCCGCTGCTCCCCTCAGCAGTGTACGTCAGTCAACCTGTTCTGCTCCCCACTCTGTCTCCGGTGAATCCTCTCACTGCCCCTGCACCTCTGGCTTGTACCCCAGTTCTGTATGAATAAATAAATATCTAAAAAAAAAAAGAAAGAAAGAAATGAAGCCTGTGTCTAGAAAAGAACAAAACCCAACAGAACCCCCAAACTCAAAAGCTGTTGAGTTCAAACGCTAGGAAAGACTGATGCGTGGAATCTGAGTACCCAACCAGCTACCATGCATGATCAAATGCCTAAAAATCCTTTTGCTCCCGATGTCCTAAGGACCCCTAGAGGGATCCTAAGAACTTTAGGGTGTCCTTGGACTCTGGTTTTCTTCACTATAGACAAGACAACACTATTTTTCTCTCTCCTGGAAGCCTGGCTGAAGCCTTTGACAGTCCTTGTTACCTTCCCCTGCCATCGTGAATGTCCAAGTGGCAAAATGCTGAGGCTGAAATTTTTGTGACTTGAAAATGAGTGGCAACTAGTGGCTATGGAATTGACACAAATAATCCTCCATGTTACTGATGCTATATCAGTTATAGCACACATATTATATCAATACAGGGAGACGCGCATGTTCCCAAAAATCAACAGTTCTCCAAAAAATGGTCCGATTATTTCAAACACAAGAGAACTTTTAACTCAAACTGAAAACCAGAGAGTTGATAGTATAGATTCAGAATGTGTCTTTTTTGTGAATTTTTGTGAAATTAATCTCAACCCTTTATAGTGTGGCTTGCCTATCCTTACATATCGGCTGTGACTTCATCTCATCCACTCACCGAGAGTTGCCTCAGTTCTTACAGGCATCTCATGTCTGACTGTCCCTTCAACCTAATTAAACTCTGAGCCATCCTGCTACTCAACATCAGCTGCCAGTGGCTCACCTGGCCTGTAAAATTCTTCATATCTCTCACCCCACTCCCTGTCTTCCTACCTTGACCCCCACTACAGGCAGACATTCTTTCTTACTTTCAAGCCCTAGATCTCTCCCCATTATTTGAAAATTCCCTAATGTCCAGTTACTCACATACTTGTTCATGAAATTGCGTTCTCAAGCTCCTTCAACAGCTCCAACTGAAATGCAGGCTGAGAAAATAGAGCCGTTTCAACAGTTTTATCAATGATTTTTCTTACTCTCAATACCACAAAAGGAGTCAAAGACGTCTCCAACTGTTAAAGTCAGGCAGAACTTGCAGAGGGAAAAAAAGAACATGCATTTTTTTTTCCATCAAAAAAATAAACCACAATGAGTAATAACAACAGACACGACAGTGTTGCATTTTCTGTTCCTCTGCAGAACGTTAAGGACAACTATAAAAACCAAACATGGTTTTTAAAGAACAATAAAATAGAATGCTCCAAGTAAAGATATTAGTCAACTTTTTTCTATTCTGTGTTCCCACAAAGGTGATTCCTAGTCATGTCCATTTTATTTTTATCTGCTATTGCTTTTCTGAGTATTTACTTTTATCTGAAAAATACATCAACTAATTTATTAGCTTAAAGTGGATTTCATAATAACCTATCCTAGAAAGAATTATGCTTTTAGTACATTTAAGGAAATGAATCTGAATTCAACCAGGTGAGTGAAATTCTCTTTGGGAAAGAGAATTCTGATGCTTTATTTTCCTAACTTAAGTCTTATACAGGGAAAGTTCTTCACTCAAAACCCTTTAAATTTTTTTTATCTGATTAAATGTAAGTACCTGGCAATACAGGAAAAACCTAGAACATTTCAAAACCTGACTTAAAAACCAATGAAAGGATTACACTTTAAAAATGGTTAGGCCCGGCCCTCCCTGATGGTGCAGCGGGTTAAAGCACAGCACGGAGAATCTAAAGCCGCTTCCTCATGAGTTCGATTCCCACCTGCCCTGGAGGTGACCACAGGGCGCGGCAGACCTCTCCTGACCCGCCCGCTGCTCCCCTCAGCAGTGTACTTCGTCGATCTGCCTGTTCTGCTTCCCACTCTGTCTCTGGTGAAGCCTCTCACCGCCCCTGATCCTCTGGCCTGTATCCCAGTTCTGTATGCACAAATAAATAAATCTTTTAGAAAAAAATGGTTAATTTGGGGCTCTCCCTGGTGGCATAACAGCTTAGGACACAGCACTGCAAGCTGGCCACAGCTGCTTCAGTGCGAGTTCGAGCCCCAGCCCCAGAGGTGACCCATATGGCACAGCAGACCTCCCCTGTCTCCCCGCTGCTCCCCTCAGCAGTGTACTTCGGTGATCTGCCTGTTCTGCTCCCTGCTTTGTCTATGGTGAAGCCTCTCATCACCCCTGCACCTCTGGCCTGTATAAATAAATCTGTTTAAAAAAAAAAAAAGTTAATTTTTTTTGGTGAATTCTTTTACCCTCTGCACCTTTGGTCTACACCCCAGTTCTTCTATGAAAAAAAAAGAAAATTAAACGTGGACTAATACATAAAATAAATGGTCTCAGATATTTAATAATAGACAACACAGGACCTCACTGTCTGGGAAAAATAAAAATGAGATGGACCCTAAAAAGGCCCAACTTCCCTGGATTTCTTTACAGAAAACAACATCAAAGAAGGAAACCAAACAGAACAGAACTTTGCAGAGTTAAGGACAGAACCTGGCGAGGCTGAGCCAAATGCATTTTCAAGGCAGCAGATCAGAAAGAAGTCTCAATACAGAACAAGCCTCACAATCTCCACAGCACCCCTCCTCAAGTTCGGAGCTAAATATTAAGCTACTAGGGCACAGGAAAACTGCAAGATGCAGTTTGTGGCTCTCTTTTGGCCAAAGATTTCTCTTTGGCTTCCTTTATTTCCCGATCACTTTCTTTCACCCAATTCAAGTAACTCCCAGGGAAAGAACAAGTATGGAAGAATTTTAAGAGGACTAACACCGAGCGCTCACAGAGGGCTAGGAGCCACCCAAATGTCCATGATGCACACGGGAAAGGGGGTACAGCAAACCTTTGGACAGCAGGGCTATCAGGAGATGCTGGTTTACCAGCAGGACAAACTGGCAAAGGCTCCTTAGAGCCAACCTCACAAAGCTTAGCAGAGTCTAAAAGGACCACATCATTTCATAAGTAATGTAAGTATCTACAGAAACAGAAGCCCATTTTTACATAAGAACAACAAAGTCTAGACACTCAGCAGTAAGGCTGACAATGTCCAGCGTCACATCAAAACTACTACATATGGGAGAGGCTGAAAATGAGAGCCATTAAATCAGACAATAGAAACAGACCCCAAAATGATGGCATTGGCAGACAAGAGCTTCAAGCCAGTTCTTTTACATAGTTCCATAAGCTCAAAGGCAATTTGGACCACAATAAGGAGAAAGGTGGAAGGTTATAAAATGAAAATACTCCTGTAGACAACAGTTTGGCAGTTTCTTATAAGTTTCAATACAATTGTCCATGAGGCTGCAATGTCACTTTAAGTGTTTCACATAAGTACTTTTACATG